GTCTCCCCCACATAAATTTTCAGTCACTAGGGGTTTTTTCTTTACCATACCTCACCATGCTGATCAATGTTGGTTGAAGGTACAGTGAAGGAAAAAAGTCTTTGATCTCCTGCTGATTTTGTACGTTTGCCCAATGATCAGTCTATAATTTTAATGGTAGGTTTATTTGAACAGTGAGAGACAGAATAACAACAAAAAAATCCAGAAAAACGCATGTCAAAAATGTTATAAATTGATTTGCATTTTAATGAGGGAAATAAGTATTTGACCCCTCTGCAAAACATGACTTAGTACTTGGTGGCAAAACCCTTGTTGGCAATCACAGAGGTCAGACGTTTCTTGTAGTTGGCCACCAGGTTTGCACACATCTCAGGAGGGATTCTGTCCCATTCCTCTTTGCAGATCTTCTCCAAGTCATTAATGTTTCGAGGCTGACGTTTGGCAACTCGAACCTTCAGCTCCCTCCACAGATTTTCTATGGGATTAAGGTCTGGAGACTGGCTAGGCCACTCCAGGACCTTAATGTGCTTCTTCTTGAGCCACTCCTTTGTTGCCTTGGCCGTGTGTTTTGGGTCATTGTCATGCTGGAATACCCATCCACGACCAATTTTCAATGCCCTGGCTGAGGAAAGAAGGTTCTTACCCAAGATCTGACGGTAGATGGCCCCGTCCATCGTCCCTTTGATGCGGTGAAGTTGTCCTGTCCCCTTTACAGAAAAACACCCCCAAAGCATGTTTCCACCTCCATGTTTGACAGTGGGGATGGTGTTCTTGGGGTCATAGGCAGCATTCCTCCTTCTCCAAACACGGCGAGTTGAGTTGATGCCAAAGAGCTCCATTTTGGTCTCATCTGACCACAACACTTTCACCCAGTTGTCCTCTGAATCATTCAGATGTTCATTGGCAAACTTCAGACGGGCATGTATATGTGCTTTCTTGAGCAGGGGGACTTTGCGGGCGCTGCAGGATTTCAGTCCTTCACGGCGTAGTGTGTTACCAATTGTTTTCTTGGTGACTATGGTCCCAGCTGCCTTGAGATCATTGACAAGATCCTCCCGTGTAGTTCTGGGCTGATTCCTCACCGTTCTCATGATCATTGCAACTCCACGAGGTGAGATCTTGCATAGAGCCCCAAGCCGAGGGAGATTTACAGTTCTTTTGTGTTTCTTCCATTTGCGAATAATCGCACCAACTGTTGTCACCTTCTCACCAAGCTGCTTGGCAATGGTCTTGTAGCCCATTCCAGCCTTGTGTAGGTCTACAATCTTGTCCCTGACATCCTTAGAGAGCTCTTTGGTCTTGGCCATGGTGGAAAGTTTGGAATCTGATTGATTGATTGCTTCTGTGGACAGGTGTCTTTTATACAGGTAACAAGCTGAGATTAGGAGCACTCCCTTTAAGAGTGTGCTCCTAATCTCAGCTCATTACCTGTATAAAAGACACCTGGGAGCCAGAAATCTTTCTGATTGAGGGGGGGTCAAATACTTATTTTCCTCATTAAAATGCAAATCAATTTATAACATTTTTGACATGCGTTCATCTGGATTTTTTTGTTGTTATTCTGTCTCTCACTGTTCAAATAAACCTACCATTAAAATTACAGACTGATCATTTCTTCGTCAGTGGGCAAACGTACAAAATCAGCAGGGGACCAAATACTTTTTTCCCTCACTGTAGGAGGACCAGGACAAGTTCAGATATCACTTGCCACTGACGTTGGTCATGGCCAGGAATCAAACTCTGTTCTTTGGTTTCAAAATCCAGGGCACACCCTATTACACTACTGAGCTCCAATTCTAATCTTGCTATTGTGACATTATACTCAATCACCTTTTCATACAACTACAGAAAAACACAGCAATGTGTTGTGCTTTACTCAATAACCAAATCACTGACATTCAGGGTTAAAACCGATGCTCAAAACAAACTCTTACGGAAGTGTTCTATCCTGAGCATTTAAAAAAATAGTTTGTGATTACTGGTTATATTTTTCACACTCCAATGCTTCGCCTAATTTATTTAAATACTGAAGTCAGTGCCTAATGTTTTCCTTACATTTATTACTTTATCGTCTTTATCCTAAACTATTTAGAGACACCATGGGACCTCCTTTGCCAAGACCAAAATATAATAGGTTTTTCTCCTATTTTCTGGCAACAAAACAGGTGTTACGATGTTAAAACACCAAATTGAAACCTTTTGCAAGGAATCATGTCTGCATTAACCACAATGCTTGTGGTCAGAATGCAAACAAAAAACAGACTGATAATATATGCATTGTCCTTGAAACCGATTGGTCCACACCAGAGACAGCTTTCTTTTGAACCTCGTCTCAAACGGTGTTAGACCAGAGGACGTCAAAAGGTGTACAGCCCAAAGACAATGCCACTATCAGAGTAATGAGAGCTCGGGTGAGCATCCACATCAAGGGACCTCCTTTGCCAGTACCAAAATATAATAGGGTTTTCCCCTTTTTCTGGCAACAAAACAGTTGTGTTAAGATGTTAAAACACCAAACTGAAACCTTTTACAAGGAATCATGTCTACATTGACCACAATGCTTGTGGTCAAAATGCAAACAAAAAACACTGATAATATATGCATTGTCCCATTGTTGCCACTGGGAAAAAATGTGACACTGGCACAAAACTACACCGAATGAGGCTCACATCTATGGGGTGTTTTGCTGTCGCAGAACCCCTACTTCATGGTCAGAGAAAAACGTTTAGACTGCCTGACCAGAAGAGGATGAATGATTTAATGGCTTTTGGTCAACACGTCTATTGCAGTAAAAGCTTCCCCAATAAGGCTTCACAACCAAAGCCATTGCAAATAGAATGAAGATGCAGTCAGGCTAAGTGTGACATTTCTTCGTGCACTAAATTAGAATTTAAAAAAGAAAGCCAAGCAACAAATTCCGAGTACAGTGCCCTGTATTTGAACACAAAGGCAGTAAAAACATGGTCACTCCGGTTTCTCCATTTGCCTTTCTATTTAGCTAATTGCTTGTGCATTTATGTAAAAAGAGCATTTGACGTAAATATATTAAGTGATAATCTTAAGTTAGTCCCTTGTCAATACTCTGCTGGGTAAAAGGCTCTCCATGCTCTGTCAGTCATACTTCACCACGTTGATCATCATAGTTTCTTGGAGGGGTTGTCCAGGACAGCAGAGCATTCACTCGCAACTTATGTAAACCGTGGCTGTGAAATGAATGGAAGTTCTGTGTTCATAGCATTGTGCAATAATCAATACGCCACAGCCACTATCTCTACCCCCGATTACATAAAGTATGCCACTACATGTCAAATTATATGAACACACAAATGGGTAGAAATGCAATTACATAACAATTTGCTAAATAAACCCATCAACTGTTTACATATTAAGGCAAATTTAAGCTGTTCGCCTTTCAAAATGAAATTGATGTACAATTAATCAAACACTAAAAAACGAACCTTAAGAAAATTATGTTGGTCAACCCACCCACACCGTGACACAATGCATACAAATTTACAATGTGGGTGCTGGGCACAGCCAATGGTCTGATGTTATACAAACCTTCTATAATGTAGACAACCTAAATCAACGTGCATTGGTGTATTAGCACAAGAAACAAAAACACGTTTATCAATAACATTGGCCCTATAATATGAAGTAAAAATATAATAGGTGACATGCTGAGAAATTGTCCTTCATAGCACACAGACCATGTATGCGCTCTTCTTTGTGCGATGAAGGGCTGTTCCCCAAAACTAAACTTATACAAAACATACTTTTAGGGCAGTGTCATTGACCAATGTGTTGAGCTTTTGTAAAATGTAATTAAATAATCGTACAATGTTAAACCACACTGCACAGTATTACAATGCACAAGGGCCAAAATAATTAACCATACATGCTTAAGTTAATTTTGACAAGGCAGAGACCAAGTGCATACATTTACATTTTTTGGCAGAAACGCAATTTGTATCAAAAATCGGCATAGAAATCGGCACGAGCAGACAAATCAGGCCCCAAGCTCTCCATAATTGCCAGTCATAAAGAGCAGCATTGAGATAAATTTAATTGACAACTCCCACCACGAATATTTTTTTAAACCTACAGTCCCCATTCTGCAAAGATTGTGAGTTAGTGGGATATCTTATTTAACACGTAGGCTTTCGCGACCAATATCATCCATAAGAGTTTTTTTTGGGTTAGATCGCGTAAATGTGTCGTTAAAACCCGCCACCACCCGACACAGCCAACTAGTAAGGGTTGTCACGTATACAGAACATGCCAATTCGTCACTAGTACAGCAACACCAGTGTGTTGGAGAGCCAAGCCACATTTACAATCTGAGTACGACGTTTCTCCAGTAATTACAACTACTAGCTTCATCAGGCGACAGACAGATTTGTCTTCCCGTTTCGTTCCAATACATCTACGCCTCTATATAAGGAACGAAATAGTAAGACTTCTCCACAAATTTCAAGAAAACGATCCAATGCTCCGAGCCATTTATGTTAAACTTTTGTCGCGCCGTACGTTGCCAATCGTGCTCATGGAAGATGCCATCTCGGAATCACAACTCTACTATTGTTCCTCTTTTTGAATTCTTTGTTGGTGCATCGTTCACCTTTCAGCACAGCAGGATCACGCACACTGCATAACTTCATTCAAAAAAATAGATACACACACAAACGATCCCCCGTATACCCATAATACACTATTGGAGCAAGTTATGTTAGCGAGTAGCACATATAAAGGTCAGCACGGCACACGAGGTGGTTGATGGCCAGCACCACACCCGACCGCCTTTGTCTCCCCAGTGGCGATGTTTACCCGAGGGGGAATCGAATTCGCGGCGCAGGGGTCGTTTAAGGACAGCGCGCTAACCACTACACTACCGCTCCCCAAACACACACACACTGACTGACATACTGACACACTCCTTGTTGCAACATGAAACGTAAAACCAATCAAGCAACAACCAACAACGGAACGACGGCGCTCACCGAGCTTCAGCGCCTCTGTGTAGGTGGCCAGCGCCTCGTCCAGCCTCTTGAGGCCACACAGAGCGTTGCCCTCGTAGCGCAGCGTGGCCGCCCTGCTCTCGGCCGGGAAGAGCTTCTGCAGCAGGGCGCTGAGCAGCACGTTCACCCGCCACACCGCCACGTCCAGGTGCCGCAGCTCCGCGCCGCACACGCGGCACGCTTCGGGGCCCTCCCTCTCCAGGCAGCGGCGGCAGAAGCTGTGGCCGCACGGGCCCGTGCTCGGCTCCACCAGGAGGCCCCGGCACAGCGGGCAGCTCAACGGGTCCCAGCAGCCGCCGCTGGGCTCCTGGAGGAGCTGAGCGCGGCTCGTCGCCCCGTGCGACTGCCCGATCGCTGCGCCGGCGCCAGGAGCGCCGTGGCACGGCCACACAGCCTGCCCCGCTCCGTGACCAGGTCCCAGGAGAGGCCCCTGGCCGGACAAGGGCACCTGCCCAGTGCCCAGCTTGATTCCCTGCTCGGTCGCTGCGCTAGAGGCCATCTCCTCCATGTGACCTACTGCCCCAGAGCCCAATCCTGACCGCGTGTAGCCGGGCCCTGTACCGCACTCCAGAGTCCCACCCGTCCCCCCTTTGCCCGGCACGGCCTCAGCCCCCGGCTCGGATCCCGACCCAGTCTCAGAATGCGCTTCGGTTGGCGCCTCTGGGCTACTTCTCAATGCAGTTCTCACCGGTGGCTGAGTATTTGCGCACTGTCCCGCATCGAGGCCAACCGCATTCCCAATCGCGACTCCGGTGCCAGCCTGAGCTCTCACTGCTGCCCCTTGCCCGGAGCAGGTCCCCGAACCCGACCCAGAGCCGGCACCGGATTCCCAACTTGACAGGTAACCACAGCAGGTGGGGGACGCGTTCCCCGGCATGTGGTGGGGCTCCTGCCGACACCCGGACACGGACGCAGCAGAACTCGACTGAGAGCCGGTGTCCAACCCGGACTCCGCTCCGAACGCAGACACGGATCCACTCCGAGTCGTCTCAACGCCTGACCCTGACCCTGCTGCGGACTCGGACCCAGCCGCGGGCCCCGTGGCGGCCTCGAGTCCCCTTTGGGGCCGCAGGCGCTGCGCCAAGCAGTCGATGAGCGCGTCGAGACGGCCGGGCTGCAGGCGGCCGAGGCGCAGCGCGGCCGCGTAGTCGTCGAGCGCGGCGCGGAGGCGGCCGTCGCCGGCCAAGGCATCAGCTCGCCGCAGCAGCAGCTCCTGGGTGGCCGGGCAGTGCTGCGGCTGCGGCTGCTGCTGGTGGTGGCGATGCTGGAGGTTGCCGCTGCTGTTGCTATCGCCGCAGCCGCCGCCACCACTGTCATCGGGACGGGGACTCGAACCGGGGAACAACCGCCTCTGCAGCTCGCAGCCGTATTTGTCCGCCGCCGGCTCGAAGTTGCCGGCGCTGGACGCCTCGGCTGCCAGGAAGAGCATGTCCCTGGCAGACGGGGAACCCGGGGCAGACGCGGGGCCCGCCGGAGCTGTGGCCATTTCGCCGTGCGCTGCTGCTGCTGCAAGTGTTGATGTTGTTGTTGTTTATGTAGAGGCAAGTCGGCTGTCCTCCCCCCCTGCCACCCCTGGCTAGGGGAGCCGAGCGAGCCTCTCGGACCCGTGTGTTACCGCGCCATGCTGGGGCTTTTGTGAGTGGGGGTGGCGTTGCGTGCGTTGGGTGTGGGTGGGTGTTTGGAGGGGGTGGGGAGGGGGGCTGATGAGGAAGTGGGTGGGAGGGGATGAGTGGGGAGGGGAGCTCTCCGAACCCGGCGACCCCCCCGAGTTTGATTGCCTCCGCCCCCGCTCACGGCCACCAACACGGGTGATGATTATCCTGAACCGGTCCTGGTCAGCCTCAAATCAGTATACCTGGTGCGGTGTGTAAAATCGTCGCCACTGGTACTGGCAAACACACCGCTTCGCGTACCATGCCGGCCTCCAAATGTGGTTTGCTACTCGCTAACAGCACTTGCCCCAAAAGTCTGTTGAGGCTATACGGAGGCTCTTTGTCTTTGTGGGAGGGACCACGCTGGGCATGGGAGGAGGAGACGCCCGTTCCATCGCCCACGCTCCTCAACACCCCTTTCACTCAACACAGACAGCAACAGATATTACGGTAGCAGTGTTCACGAGCAACTCTGCCACAGCAACGCATTATCAACAGCACACCGTATCCTTGTCTGCACGTCCCATTATACCCACCCATACGTGCTCACATTTACATCTTTGCCTGGCTAACGTCGACCACCCATAATTTATATTTTTTGTATTTTGTCTATGATCACCAACCCATCGATAACCCTGATCCCATGCATGCCGCAGTCGTATCTGTACCACCGCCAATACTTTCTCAATTCCACCGTCTCATCCCCACCCATGCTACCCCCTTGCCAATCCCATATCCCGTCTACTTTTGCTTGACTCTTCTATTTAGCAGCCATCTTCCACCCGACCCTGCTGTCAAAGCCAAGCCCTCCATTTCCACCCCGCTAGCCCTACCGCTCCTGTTCACCCATTTCCTGCCATCCTCTGCCTCATTCCCCTCACCGCATCTGCACCCTCCCTCCACTTTCCACCGGCATGTCCACGGTGGGTGGGAGAATTCGACTGGCCTGGTGGGTGGGTTGAGGCATGTGGGAAAGAAAGGGATTGAGTCGCATAACCATAAATATAATGAATCCACATTGGATTTGTTCTCTGCCTCAGTGCTGCTGCCTCCATCGGACGAGGAGAAAGATTGATGGCGAGATGTTTCTTGCACAGGGGGAAGCAATGCCACTATGCAAGTCTTCCTCACCAGAGCCATTGTAGAGGGTGGTCCCATAAAAAATTTTCTCCTTTGCATATTCATTTCAGTTTTAACAAAACCTTGCTTTAAAAACATTAAGTTTTAGATTATTAAATGGGGGTCGCAAGACATCTGAACCACCCTAAAGAGTCTGGGTCTAAAGTTTTCGTGACTGCAGGGATCCATACTCTTTGGTTCTTTCGGTAAAGTCACGTAGGTATAAAATAGAATAAATTAAATCACGACGTTTCGGGCACAACACAAGCGGCCGTCATCAGGTGGGGCAACCACAGCAAGAAACAAATTGCCCACTACAGCAATTCAATTTCAAGATCGTCCTCACCATCTTTAAGTTCATCCGTGAGTCTCACCTGCCTACATCTGCCTTCTCACCTCACTCAGCCTCCCTAACTCCCCCTCTCATTTTACTCGACTCCCCTCCACACGTAGGTTTTCTCGACCAATATTATCCATAATAAAGGAGGTTTTTTTTGTTAGCTCACGTATGGTTTTTGCACCTGATAAGGATCACAGTGATGAAATCACCTTTACTTTATTTAAGACTGAAAGATAAATACTTCTTCACAATTCTGGCAAATCGCCTGTAATCACCAGCAAAACGTCGAAGTCAAATTGCAAATGTGGATTTACTCTCCGACACACCGGTGTGCTGACGTAGTAACTCATTGGCACGTTTTGTTTACGTAACAAACATTACTAATGGGTGGTGGAGGGTTAACGACACTTTTATATTTATGCAATTGAACCCCCCCCAAATAAAACCTTTATTATGAACTCTTCTACCTCTCCCTTCTCAACTCACTCCAGTCAACTCACTCTCTTTGCTCAGTGAGAGGTCGCTCATTCTCCTCTACTGCCCCTTATTTGTGTGGAATTCTCCTGTCCCAGCTACACGGTGATGTTGCCTCCTTGATACAGCACCTTCATTTTCTCCTCTGCCGGTAAATTGCTGATTTTTTTTTAAGTATACAGGTCTGAATCTTGATTTGAAGCTCTCTTGACTGCAGGAATCCATACTCTTTGGTTCTTTCGGTAAAGTCACGTAGGTAGAAAAACTAATATACCACGACGTTTCGATCGCAACACAAGCAATCGTCATCAGGTGAGACAACCTACGTGACTTTACCAAAAGAACCAAAGAGTATACAGGTCTCATTTCACCCACCACCACCCCCAATAATTAAAGCTGGAAAAAATATGTTTTATATCATATGCATACAAACGTTACAACTTCCGTACACGACACTAAAACATGTTTTAAGCAAATAATTTAATCGCATTGATAACGCCTTAGTCTAAATTAATATTATATATGTTTATATCATATCTGTGCATCACAAACGTCCCACGTACAGATATACCAATCAATACAATTGCCCATTGGTATTTCTTATGGGCCAGGGGTTTGAGAATCCTGATGGTAGGATATAATTGTAACGTTATCCATTTCACATATTGGTGATGTCATTCAAGGGAAACCAAAACATCTTAAACATATCATGATGATTTATCATATTATAGTAGTGTCAAGCAAAGGGATGATGCCTTGGTGGGTTATGGCAGAGGGGCTGGGCTGTGTGGGGATGACGTCACGCGCCGTGGGAGGAGGGGGTGATGCACGCGCAGTGGGGGGTCCCGCCCACAACGGGTGGGGGCGGGGCATGTGTGGGGAGGGCAGGGGCGGGCATGTGTGTGGGGGGGGGAGGATGCGCGTCACCCTGGCGCATGATGTGGAGCGTCGCCGTCTCGCCCGTGACCCGCATTGGAGTTGCGGTCACGTGACGCGCGGTTACCTCAGACGACCCCGCGCGCGCGCGCGTGTGTGCGCATGCGCGCCCCCCCCCCGCCGCCTCTCACCCCTCCCCTCTCCCCTCGTACTGTACCGCGCAGACTCCTCCATGGCGAGAGGCGGGAGTGCTGCTCGCTGAAACACAACATTTCCCTGGGTTGGATCTTCCACGAAGCTCGTGTCCCCGACCCTAAATCGCGTGCACTGCACAGATCGCGGCAAAAGATGCGGATACCCGAGACACAAAAGTAAAATAAAAAAATAACTTTTTTCCGGGCAGTGTGCGACCGTGGTACGACGTAGAACGGAGCAATGCCCCCCACCCCCCCAGGATTCACAAATACGAAGGAGGTATCATCCAACAGCGATACACTGCGGTTGGCTGGCTTTACCACCTCAATGTGACATTGTAGTTGTTGCTCTTCGTCTTAACACATCGGCAGCCTTACGAAGGGGAGAAGAAGCAACAACTCCCGTGCTGCTGCTGCTATCACGGCAGCTATCAGCAGATGTCGGGCACCCATTCACAAATATATGCGGTAGCATAGGGTGGCAGTGCTTGTACGAAGCTAACCCCCCCCCCTACCGAGCCCGTTGCACTCTCAGAAAGCGTCTTTGTCCTTGTGTTCGTCATTGAAATTATTGTCGGGGTTTCCCCACCCCCTTTTGTGGTTTCCTCTCTAAATTGGGGATGATATATCCGCGCGACGTTTCACCCTCGTGTTTAAAAGTAAAACAACCCATACCTCTTACACCCCCTCCTCTTCCTCTCTCTCTCTCTCCACTCCGGGGGAAAAGAAAAAAACACATTTGCGGGGAAATACTGCGTACAGTACGAAGTTACGTAAGCCGAACCCCGTGTTTGTGCATACCAGGGCTTGCTGTCGCAGTGCGCTATGAACCCGGTAACCCCCCCCGAGTTACCATTCATGGCCACGGCGAACGCCAGCTGGCCTTTAAGTGCCGTGTTCTGAGCACCAAACCCACACTTGACCGGCCTAGTGAAGTATGGTCAAATCAACCACCCACACCCGCTGTGACAAACACAGCGTGGTTGGTTGGTTGGAGTCCTTCATCCAAAGAGCCGTGGAAATGTAATTTGACCTCATTTGTGAACGCGTGTATCGATAGCTGCAGCAGCAGGTCGAAACTGCCTCGTCCCATAAACGTCTTTGTAGGTAAATGAGTTGTGGATAAATGAGGCGGAGTGCCTTCATAATGTTTCATAATTGCAAGACAGTACCTATGTATGGCACACGGTACTCGTTTTGCATACTTGGCACATCCTGCCATTTACTGTAAATGGGCTGAACACTCTCAGTAGATTCCCCCCCACCCGCGCCAAATAGTTTGTTTGAGAACCCCGTGTGTGTATTTATAGACAAAAACGATATCACACCCCGTGCCTATCCTCCGTACTCCCTGTTTTGCTCTCAGGCCGAGAGAAAATCAGTAAGACAAGGGGGGTACACAATTGCTTCCACACGTCAGGTTGCAAACCCTCCCGGAATGGCCGTTAGTCTATTGGTATCAATCTCCCGGTGACTATTTGAAATCAATGCAGGAAATGTTAATAGGATATTTGTAAAAAGAAAAGAACTCCCGGAATGTATGTTGAAATTGTTCGTACCGTACGTAGCCAATAACACTATCTAACACAATTTTTGTTCCTGGGTAGTAAGTGTTATTTCGTCATTGCTTATGCCGAAAAGGTATAGAACATGAGAATAGGTTTTCCCCTTTTTTCTGGCAACAAACAGGTGTTAAGATTCTAGATTTGAAGCTTTCGTGACTGCAAGGATTCATACTCTTTGGTTCTATTCGGTAAATTTACGTGACTTTACCGAATAGAACCAAAGAGTATAAGTGTTAAGATGTTAGAGCACCAAACTGAAACCTGGAAGGCGTCCTCTGGTCTAACACCGTTTTGAGACTAGGCTCAAAAGAAAGCTGTCTCTAGTGTGGACCAATCAAGTTTAAAAAACAATGCATATACAGTGAGGGAAAAAAAGTATTTGATCCCCTGCTGATTTTGTACGTTTTCACACTGACAAATAAATGATCAGTCTATAATTTTAATGGT